AAAATTAACTAAAAAAATCAGAGGAAAAAGCAAAAAATACCGAAATTATATTTTGAACCCCCATTTAAAAAAAAAAAAAAAAAAAAAAGAAAAAAAAAAGCCATAAGTACATTTTACAGGACAGCAGTGAGATTTTGGGACATTAATGTAGAAGCAGCTGAAAGTCTGTTCACGTGATAAAAAGAGGGGTGGAGCCTGAAAACTGTAACCAAAAAAAATAAATATAAAAATAAAAATACATGCTGGGCTATGAAACGGTGTGATGAAGTGGTTTAAGACTTTACTTTAGGTGGATCGCCTCAACTCATCCTGGTCTTCATGCTTCAGGTTTTGTCTCGATGCGGTCCGAAACCCCCCTCCCCGACCCCCCGCACCCCCGAGGTTTTGTTCCACTCGCTGGGTGTAGGCAGTAACACTGATAGTTTAGTGCAAAGTGGACAGAGCTGCTTTTTCCTCATGTCAACTGAAACAGGTGCAAACGCTCAGCAGGAGAACATTAAAGACAAGAAATAAAGGACCGAAAAAAAAAACATAAATATCAAAAAACCTTTTTATCAGTATAAAAAGTAATAAGGTTATTCGTTTAATCAATAGTCTGGCAAAAAGGCCTCAGAAAAGTTCTTGGATTGGTGTTTTTTTTTTTCCTGTTTGTTTTTTTACAAATTAAGTGCCTGCAGGAATGTCCTCAGACGAGCGACTCCATGCTCTCCGCAGGGTCCGACTCGTCCGCAATCACCACCACCCCGTTAGTGTCCGTGTGAGTGGGACTCAGGCTGCACTCTCTGTTGCTGACCAGGCTCAGCATGGCTTTGTAAAGGTACTGGTACTGCTCCTGTGCAAACAAACAGAAATATGAAAACGTTAACAAGACGCGGTCCCTTGCTCAGAACACTCAACGTGTCCAGGGTTTGATTTAAACTGGACTTTTACTCTGAAAAGCGTCTCTCTCCTAAGTAACACTGTCTGACCGTGAAGACACAGAGGTTAGGCCCCCTATCAGTCGCCACAGCCTACAGTAACCTCAATTTTTGCTCTCTTAGCTCCGTGATCTCCAGGGTGAGAAGCCTCACTTCTTGATTGATTCTCATGTTGAGGATCAGCAGACGGTTTTTCTGAGACCTTTGGACCGGGCTCCTGCTCCGATCACCAGGTGGTCTGCACAAACAAGACTAATCGAACTGCTTTTGCTCCGCTGGCAAATAACGTCTGTTTAAGAATAACCCACAGTGGCTGCAGCCGCACATGTGAGACGTTAGCAGAAATCATAAGCAGCGCAAAAGTAGCTCATGATTGTCAAGTCAATGCAAAAATAAATCTCATATAGTCTATTTGTGCATTCTTCATTTTGTGGATGAATGTTTAGCTCTGATTACTGTGCCAGGTGTTCTGGGTGTCTTCTACATCCAGAAACAGACATTTTCCACGTTCTTTCTCTGCAGAACAGTTCAAACAGAGTGGATGAAGAGAGTCTATAAATACCAGTTTTCAAGTCATGCCAGAGATTCCTAATTGAATTTAGGTCGGGACAGTGACTGGGCCATTCTCACACATGAACATGCTTTGATCTGAACCATCCCCTCTCTGACTCTGATGTTTGGAGTCGGTGTCCTCTTTTGTAGACCCAGAGATGTTCTTTCTGGATTTTGTGCCCTGCATTTTTCAACTTTTTTTTTTTTTTTTTCTTCATGTCCCCTAAAGGAAAGCCTCCCACAGCATGATGCTGCCGCGGCAGTGTTTCAAAGTGATGGGTAGTGTGCAGCGCCACCCTTCCTGACCTGTGGGAACTTCAAACTGAACTTCATCATTATGGCGATTGCTTTTGTCTTGGTACTCTTTATTTTTTTTAATAAAGGTTATGTTGAGTTGAGCATGAGATTCTCACACCTGAACTGTGGCTCTCTGCAGAAAGTTTCCACGTGAGCAACCCTCATATTTAATTTTCAAAAGATGGATTTAACAGTGACCTGTGAGATGCTGGAAACCGCTTGGGATATTGTTTAAAAAAAAAACAAAACATAATTCTGTTTTAAACCTCTCCACAACTTTATCAGCTGCCTTCCTCAAACCTCTGAGGCCTTCACAGAGCAGCTGTGTTTGTGTGAGATTAGATCACATACAGGTGGACAATTTAGTCAGCAAACATCCGGCCACGGCTGGAAAAACTGGATGTTATCTCCGTTTAGTACACTAATAAGGGCTGAATACATATGTCGTGCTTTTATTTTTGAAAAATACGAAAACACCACATCATTTTCCTCCCACGTGCCTTTCTAGCTGGTCTGTCGCTGATAATCTCGGCACAAACCAAAGTAAGAAAAATTCAGACGGCAGTTTTTAACCCCCACAAGATGTTGTATCTAAAAGAAATTAGCCTTAATATTCATGTGTGTAGAAACTACTGGACAATTTACAAGTGCTTTTCTGTTAGGTTACAGTGGCCCAGAAAAGACAAATACATATGTTAAACATAGCTTGGTAATAATTACTTTATAGCTTGTATTAGTCACAGTGAGGCTTTAAGTCTTTATCAGACCACATGAAATGGTTATTTGGCCACTTGGGGGCAGCAGAACAGGCTTGAACAAGCCCAGCAGCTTCACAAACGACTGTGTCCAGAAACAATCCCCCGACACGGTTAGTAAGAGAGGAAACAACAGAAGGTTTCCGTTTGTCAAACTTACTATGTCAGTGAAGACCCCCGGCCTCATGAGATTGATCATCTTGGCCACCTGATAGATGTCGACGACGCCCTCGCTTTCCAGCTGCTGGGACAGTGTGGTGAGGGCGCAGAGCATGCCCGCTGACACGGCTCCACACCTGGAAGGAGACGTTCTCTGTGAGATGGCGACAGCTGTCGAGTGGTGTTCAACAGGGTTACGCCGGGTGTCCCTCGCTTTAAACAGCGACGTCGGGTTTTAAATTTCATTTCAGGGCTCTGACCACTTTCTGTTCGCGATCCAGTGTAAGCGAGCGAAGGATGCAGTGTTATTTATTCCGTCACGACTTCTGAAAATAATTTAATGAGCTGCAGACAGACTGGGAGACATGTCCCATTAATGGCAGATGAGATGCTGCAGACACTGATGCATGTAGGAGGGACATCAGCTGGGAATCTACAAGAGTTTTAGGCTTTTTTTTTTTTTTTTCTTCATTATGGGGCATTAAAATGATAAGTGCTGGTGTACGCTTAAGGACTTTAAAACCCAGAGGTATGGAAAGCACTCAGTATTTATTGCATTGCCTTTAATCTTAATCCTACTTGTGCTAAACCCCCAGAAATTAAAAGAAGATAATTTGCTTCACTCTAATCCAAGACACAAACTTAAAATGGCAGGTAAGATCAATATCTTTATTAAAATTAAGCAGACTCTTTATTTCCCCGGACAAAACGCTTCCCCCTAAATACGCCGTTGTCTCTAAACTTTGGGAGGAAAAGGGAACGTACTCATCATGCACAATGGTGGGGCCATCTCGAGTCATGGCTTCCTCCTTGATGACATTGATGAGCTCGAAGGTGCTGCTGAGAGGGGCGTCCGGGTTTGGCCATTTGGGGCACTGAAAGTGTCTCACCTCCAGAACATAATCATCCTGATGAGAACAGAAGACGACGTTTCACACATTTCCTTCATGTCCAACAGAAATATTTTCTCAGATGCGTTATTTATTTATTGATTGATTTATTATTTTTTTTGCCAAATTTGGAACTTTAAATGCAATGCTGTACTATAAATGTACAGCAGATGTTTATTCTTCAGTCAGATTTTAATACGGAACCTGCAGAAGGACAATGGATGTTTAAGATATACAAAAGGGTCAAAATACTTTTTTAAGAATGGAAAATTGGATTTATAAAATTCCACTTTTCCACAGATTTCCAGGCTGTGGGAACCTCGACTCTACGATTTTAATTAAAGCTTCCACTCGCAGCGACTGAACAACTCCTCATTAGCGATTATCAGGGTTTAGCAGGTACCTGCGTGGCCTCCAAGATGAAGTCGTGGATGATGATTTGCTCCTCATTGGAGAGGCACAGTCTGTCCTTGCTGATGAGAGTTACGGTGAAGGCGATGCAGTTCATGGCCTCTTCTCGGCTCGGCCAGTAAACAAATTCATCCTCGGCCTGAGGGGAGAGCGGTGACGCGCGCGTTATTTAAATCCTCCGCTAATTATTCATCAGCATTCCTTCTCTGCACAAACGCTTAAATGATTCTATTTTTCACGGCCGCTCACTCACTCACCAGCCCCTGGTTGTCAGGCAGCATGACGATAATCTGAGCATTGTGGTCCCAAATCATCCTCCAGAAGTCTGTGGTGGTGTGGGGCAAAGGATGCTGGGTAATAATGAACTCATTACTTCTGTAGTAGCCCTGAGTAGACAGAGGTGGAACGGTTAGCCTTTTGCTCAACCCATCATTTTCTCCAGCTGAAGCTTAATGGCTCAGGATACAGAAAAGCAACTCATTAATTGTCAACACTGTACCATTATGTAGGATGCATTAATGTAATCTGTTCCTTTCATGCCAGGAAGGGTGGTGAGTCCAACCCTTGCTCTTTCCGCTGTTGAGGCACAGAGAGGGAGGAAAAAAAAAAAAAAAAACAAGCTTTAAATCCCAACCCAAGCGTCTTTTATATCACGCCCGCTGATAATGCACACATTCATTATCAGTCCTTGCTGTTGCCATAGCAACAAGTACCTCCTTTTTCTCCTGACAGGGTGCTGAGAATGCACAGAAAGATTAACTTATAGGATTATGGAAATGGATTCTAAATTTGGAGCAGGAATTGTCTTAATAATTCACAGGCTGATAAAGGAAATAAATGTGCATCACGGAGTGACGTGATTGGTTATTTGCTCAGCCTCCGGGGTCCAGGGTGAGGATGCTGCGGTAAATACTCACAGGGAACAACTGAGGAGTTGCGGTTCTTCTCCTTGTTGCAGTCTTTGTGAGCGCTGAAGCACTCGACGAAGCGTGTGTTGCACTGACTCAGCAGCTGGGAGGAGAAAAAAAAAATAAAATAAAAATTAAATATCAGGTTTTGGCTCTGGAAGTCAAAGGAAGTCCAGCGCAAGCACGAGGAATGACACACACACACACACACACACACACACACACACACGCGCACACACACACACACACACACACACACACACACCCCGCTCGAAAATTAACAGCGCCGCTTCTATTTTAATGACAAGTGTGGAAACTGAGATATAAGTGACTTTATGTGAGCAATTATTTTCTTTGCTCTCTTGATGTTGAAAGAGCTTGATGAAACATTCATCAAACTTTGCGTAACGCAACTGAGGTGACAGACATGACTTTATGAAGCCAACATCAAAGTCACTTTCGGTCTGGCAGCAGGAAAGCCGTCGAGCGTGTTGCTATTAAGTTTGTGATCAGCGGACCACCTCAGATCCGGCTGATGGGGAGACAGCGCCGGCTGCTTCCACTCACCCTGAATTGCTTCTCCAGCCGTGTGCGGCCGGTCGAGTTAGGCGTCAGGATGCCGTTGACGTAGCCGTGCAGCTTCCAGGCCGGCACCTCCGTCTCTCTGCTGAGGATGGCCTCCATCAGCGCGTCGTGGATGAAAACATACTGCTCCTGAAAGGAAAGGAAGTTACTCAGTAACAGGTTCTTGCTCTATTAATTTTAGGTTTCTAAATGTAAGTTTCTACAGCGTAGGTCAAAAGTAATATATGCCTTGTTTGTTAGGTAACTTAATGTATCATCATATATTTTTATAACACTTTTTGGTCTCAACTTGTAACAACCACTGGTGGACAAACCAAAGATATGACGAATTACCGCATGATTACTTCAGTGAACGAAAAGGCAGCTGGTTGTTTTATGAGAACGTAGACACAGGTGGGTTTCAGGTATTAAAATATAACAAGATTTCAGAAACATACAATTTCAGAACTGTGTAATTTAAAGTCAAATCTAGGGATGCCAGATAAAATGATTATCCCCCCC